AAATCTGCTCCCATTGAGTTGATTCCAACTCAGACTGACCCTATAGGATAGAGTAGAACTACCCCATAGGGTTCAAAGCTGTAAAGCTTTATAGAAGCAGACTACCTCATCTTTCTCCTGTAGAATGACTGGTGGGTTCCAACTGCCAACCTTTTGGTTAGCACCTGAATGCTTTAACCACTGCATCACCAGACTCCTTATTCTACAATATAACAAAGAAACCAAACTTACTGCTGTTGAGTCAGATCTGACTCATAGCAACCCGTCCTTGGGCTTCTGAAGTGGTATCACTATGGAAGTCGATTGCCCAATCTTCCTTTCAAGGAGTAGCTTGTGGGTTTGAACCGCCAGACATCTGGTTAGCAGTCAAATGCCTTAGGCACTACGCCACCAGAGCTCCTGTACCACAGTATACACATCCATAAATATTGATGTAATTCTATCTGAATTAAAGAAACCTGATATTTTATTAAATTTAGAAGACAATTGCAGAACATGTTATATACTGTGATCCTATTTGTATAAAATAATAGAACATGTCACATATATACCTAACTATGCATAGAAAATTACATTCTTAACTTCTTATTTCTGGGGATAGAATGTAGGTGAGAAGAAATAAGCATATTTTACTTCTTGCTTTATATTCTTTGTAGTACTTTTGTTTTCTAAGAGATTTATACTGTTTTGAAAATCGAAGAACCAGAAGGAAACATAAGATCTCTGTGCTAGGTTGTTTATAAAAATGATTGCAATAATTCTCTCTCCTGAGTCCAAGCCCTTGGGTAGTTTCTTGCCACACTGGGCTTGGCTATGAGACTTGTTTTGGCCAACAAAACAGTAACAAAAATGATTCAAATAGAGACTTGAAAAGAAAAATGAATATTTGAGCTTGTCCTCTTCTTTTGCTGCACTTGAAAACCTTGCAGCTACTCCCATGCGAACAAACCCAAGCTAGCCTGCTGGAGGATGACAGACATCTGTCCTAGCGCCCTCACTGCCAGCCAGGCAAGTGCTGGACATGAGGGAGGCCCTTGACCACCAACTGTTCTCATTTGCGTGAGTGAGTCTTGCTAAGACCACTAGAAAAGTTTCCAGCTGAATCCAGCTCAAATTGCCAACCCACAAAATTGCAAACTCTAAATGGTTTTTGTTTTCAGCTGCTGAGTTTTTAAGTGGTTTGTTATGCAGCAAATGTTCACTGATAAAGTCTCCCACCACAAAATCAGCACCTGCCCTTCGACTGTGTGATTAGTGCTTTATGAGATAGTGAGACCACTACTTCTAAAAAACTGTTGAGCAAGAAGTGTGTGGGGAAATATTGTCACTGTCACATTGTATATACTGAGAGTTATAAAACCTACCAGTAAACATTATTGCTCAGGACAGACAATTTGTAGGCTTTTATATATCCATTAATTCAGAATGTCAGAAATCCATGTTGCAGAGATAGGTGAAGATTGCATCTTTATGCGGCTGATCTAATACGATATGATATAAAGCTTCTAGACTCTAAGAAGTGTGTTAGGAACTGCTATCCATGTGTAAATCTGAGAAAGGGATTTGATTTACCCTTCCTTCTCACCCAAGAGACCAGTACTGGGAAGGACAGTTGGCAAACATAAAGTCTGAGTAGATCATACTTGTTCTACTAAGGATGCATCAAGTCTCCAAATGGGCTTATTCCAAAACAAAAACAAGTACTCTTCCCCCCTTCATACACACACACAACACACATACACACACACACACACACACACAAACACGCACGCACACATGCAGGCACACATACGCATCAGGGAATGGAGACATCTTCCTTAAGACCCAGAACTCTGAAAATTATCTGTAGCAGAAACTGTAAGAAATTTTGGAGAATTGTTTGCTTCTGCAATAGAATGCCACAGACTCTGGTTTCTATGAAAAGAGCATAAAACCATACAGAGAAAACAGGCTACAATGAAACGGCAAGAAAGGCTTTCAGGAAATGAAAAATGCAGTGTTGCTGATGAAAAGTCTGTGCTGGTCTAATGCTTAGGTCTTGACATTTGCTCTTCCTGTTCTGAAATTTCACAAAGCTGGGTCATTTTTTGAGACATGTTCTATCATTTCTAGACTTAATTACAGATACCTTAAGATAATCTGTTTACAGGCTTTTAACAAAGAGTTTTTGCTTCAAGTATGAGGCTGAGTCTTAATGGGCCTTTATAGCTAGCTTGTTGTTGTTGTTATGTGCCATCGAGTCGGCCCCGACTCATAGCGTCCCCTCCTTGGGTTTCCAAGGCGGTATCCCCACAGAAGTAGGATTGCCCAACCTTCCTTCCGAGGAGTGGCTGGTGGGTTTAAACCACCAGTCTTCTGGTTAGCAGTCAAGTGCCTTAGGCAATATGCTACCAGAGCTCCTTTATAGCTAGCTAGTAGTTTTCAATTGTGTCTTTTATAGTTAGGCATTAGAAATTATTGTATCTTTCAATTCTGGAATTTTTGGGTTCTCTTTTTCTTTTCAGCTCTGCTTGTTAACCAGTTCTTTTCTGAGTTTATCTCTGCCACAGTCTCTTCTTAAATGTAGCTAATAGCATCTGTATTAGTCGCCTAGGGCTGCTGTGATAAAATAGTACCAATCACATGACTTATAAACCGGAAATTTATTGTCTCACAGTTCTGGAGACTAGGAGTCTGAGATCAGGATGCTGGTCTTACGGATTCCTTCTGAGACTCTGGAGGAGAGTCTGTTCCATGCCTTCCTCTGAACTTCAGGTAGATGTAGATGTTCTTGGCTGCAGCTGCAGCGTCACATGGCTGTTACCCTCTCTGTGTCTCTTCTCCTCTTTTGTAGGGTTCCACTCAGATTGGATTAGACTCGACTCTACTTTGATATGACCTCATTTCAACTTAACTGGTAACATCTTCAAAGACCTTGTGTCCAAACAAGGTCACGATCACAGGTACCAGGAGTTAGGACTTCAATATGTCTTTTGAATGTATGTTCGGTATATTCAATCCATAACAGAATCCAAGACCAGTAACATAGAGTTTCCTGGCTTCTTTGTCTAAATCTGTAAGTTTATTAGGCACATTATCTGCTTTCCAAGTTATTGCAGGCAAATATAGCTTTCCCACTGCATTATAGAGGTAATCTTTTTTCCAGCCTCCAGTAACAGTTACTTGCTAGTTACTACTCAAATCCAAAGCTATCCCCACATGTTTTAAGTGTTTGTTATAGCAATACCCCATTCCTGCTATTAGGTTCTGTACTATTTTGCTTGGGAAAAAAAAAAAAAAACTACTATAACAAGTAACCCCAATATTTTAGTGCTGTACTACAGTAAAGATTTCTTTCTAGCTCACATATTAGCTAACTTGGCTGCAGTTCTGCGGCTCCATTAAACGTATCTTACTATGTGCTCTAGGCTAAGGAGCAAACCTATGGTCTTAGGTAAGAGGGAAAAGTAAAAATACTGAAGCATGTAACATCTCCTACATCTTCACTTCAAGCCTGGTGTAGCTAACTTCCAATTTTATTTCATTAATCAAAGCAAGTTGCAAGTTCCATGTCCAAGCCCAATGTTATGAAGGTAGGGAAATATTTGGCTTTCAGCAGATCCTGCATTTGGCTGCATCTTCATCTCAGTGGCCTGCCATTTTGTCTGCCAATCTTGAGATTGTTTCTGGACTTGAACTAGTGGCCTGCCATTTTGCTTGATAACCTTGGGACTGTGCCATTTTACCTGTTGCCGTTGGGCTTGTCAGCCTCAGCAGCCAGCAGCTGCCTAAATTATGAGATGCCTCTGGCTCCTGGGGCCAGGAGCAAGAGGCAGATCTGAAGCCCAAGTTCAAAGGGCCTTTATCCAGCCTTAGAACTGGCATTTTGAATCGGACTTCTGGCCTTCTAAACTGTAAGAGAATAAATTGTTAAAACTGTACATTTGTAGTATGTCTGTTATAGCAGCACTAGAGAACCAAAGCACCATGGCTTGGGTCAAGCACACTTTAGTCTTCAAAGTGACATCTTTGCTCCTTAACACTTTAAAGAGGTCGTTTGCAGCAGATTTGCCCAGTGCAATATGGCATCTGATTTCTTGCCTGCTACATTCATGGATGTTGATTGTGGATCCAAGTAAAATGAAATCCCTGACAACTTCAGTCTTTTCTCCATTTATTGTGATGTTGCTTATTGGTCCAGTTGTGTGGATTTTTGTTTTCTTTATGTTGAGGTGTAATCTATACTGAAGGCTTTGATCTTTAGCTGTAAATGCTTCATGTCTTCTTCACTTTTAGCAAGCAAGGCTGTGTCATCTGCATATTGCAGGTTGTTAATGAGTATTCCTCCAATCATTATGCTATGTTCTTCTTCATATAGTCCAGCTTCTCAGATTATTTGCTCAGTTTACCAATTGAATAAGCAAAGTGAAAGGATACAACCTGTTACACACACTTCCTGATTTTAAACCTTTGTTCTGTTCAAATGATAACTCTTGGTCTTTGTGTAGGTAGGTTTCTCATGAGCACAATTAAGTGTTCTAGAATTTCCATTCTTTGTAATGTTATTCATAATTTGTTATGAGTCACACAGTCAAATGCCTTTGCATAGTCAATAAAACAAAGGTAAATATCTTTCTGGTATTCTTTGCTTTAAGCCAAGATCCATCTGATGTCAGTAGTGATATCCCTTGTTCCTTGTCCTTTTCTGAATCCAGCTTGAATTTCTGGAAGTTCCCTACCAGTATACCACTGCAACTGTTTTTGAATTATCATCAGCAAAATTTTACTACTGTGTGATATTAATGATATTGTTCATTAACAGGGGGAAGATTAGGAAAGAACATAACCTGAACCCTTGTTACAGAACCATGTCTGTTCCAGCAATTATAACTTTTTTTTTTTTAAGAAAGCCTAAATACAAATGCTTTAAATCTATGCAGTTTGTAGCATCACAAGAGTTAATTCTAAATAGCAGACGAGATTTAAAATTAATATATATATATATATATTTATTATTTCAGAGATTTGCCACAATATGGACAGAAGCAATGGCAGTCCTATTTTGGAAGAACTTTTGACGTTTATACCAAACTCTGGAAATTCCAGCAGCAGCATCGGTAAAGGCATTTTATAGTTGAAAGAATACGAAGGGCCCATTTTATGTTTACTCTCTCGTTGCTATTGTTGTTATGTGCCATCGAGTCAGACCTGACTCATAGCGACCCCTCCTTGGGTTTCCAAGGCAGTATCACTACAGAAGTAGATTGCCCCATCTTCCTTCCGAGGAGTGGCTGGTGGGTTTGAACCACCAGCATTCTGCTTAGCAGTCAAGTGCCTTAGCCACTATGCTACCAGAGCTCCCGTTTACTACCTCAGTCCTTTTTATTTCTCTTGATGCTTTTTAAACAATATATTTTATCTTCATGACTCAAATGGAAACAAAATGGCTTATTATTTAAGATTTTTAAATGTTCTTAACTAGATGGTGCCCAACTACCACTACTGACCACTCTGACTGGTATCTCAATAAAGGGTCCTAGACAGAGGGGGAGAAAAATGTAGAACAAAACATCAGATTCACAAAAAAGACCAGACTTACTTGTCTGACAGAGACTGGAGGTACCCCCAAGACATGGCCTTAAGACACTCTTCTGACCTAGAGTTGAAGCTATTCCTGGGACTACCTTTCAGCCAGATAATAGGCCTATAAAATCATTAATAAAATAACACCCAAGAGGAAAGTGTTCCTTACAGTGACCAGTTATGCAAGATGAAAAGGACAACGTTTGCCCAAAAGCAAAAGGAAAAGGGAGGAAAGAGTAGCAAATTCAGATGAAAGAAATGAGGATCCCAGTGTGGTAATGGGAAGAGAGTTGACACATTGTGGGGAATACAACCAGTGTCATGAATCGCTTTATGTACAGACCATCGAATGGAAAACTAAATTGCTCTGTAAGGTTTCACCTAGATTGCACATACAAAAAATGATTTTAAATTCTTACCTATTTTTTTAAGACGTATGTTATGTCTAAAATGGTTCAGAGTAAATCCAACATTGGTGGGATTATTCATAGTTTCATTCTAAAATCGGTGTTGTTGGAGGGCATTGATTAGAATTTTCATGAACATAGCTCAAAGGAATTTCTTTTTCTATTTCTACTTACTTCAAATAGACTTTTAATTAATACTTTTTTAATTTTATAGAATGATTATGTTAAAATCTCATGGAAAATTCTTGAGCTTTGCTGAATTGGATGGTATTTTCATCCCACGAATTTACAGACTTGATTTTATCTTTGAAATCAATAGTCTCTTATTTCTGTTTCTTGTCTCCTATGTGGAACAGGCAAGTCCTGGATAATCGGTATGGCTTGAAGCGGTGGCAAATAGGGGAAATTGCTTCCAAGATTGGGCAGCTGTACTACCATTATTAGTAAGTGAAATCCACGTGGAAAGGATAGAGTGTAGTCCTGATTAAAACACAGCATATCGGGTCAGAGGTAGATAGCATGCTCACTTCCTAGGAGGGAAACAGTGAGTTACAAATGAAACTCTAATACTTCATATCAGATTGATTAAGACCCCATCATTAAATGTCCTTCCGTAATTAACATTATATGTTTCAAAAGCTAGCCTTCCAAACAGCTCCTCTTATCGGACTCATTTTTAACACAAAGTAATTTGATCTTGGTTTTAGATAAGTAACTAAAACTAAATGGACTACTGATGTTATGACGTAAATCTTAATAATATGCAAAGACATATCTCAACTTATATGTGTGAATGAGTGTACTTTAAAAACTCACTAAAAACAAAACAATACAAAAAATTCAAACTAGTAGGATGTACCTGAAAGATAACATGAGATGGATAAAGATAGTTTTATTGGCTGATTATATCCTTAGAGGAGTAGCATCTGAATAGTCCCACCATGAGTCAGGGAATGAAGAGAATTCCTTTAAAGAATCTAAATCTCATTATCATGAAGTAATACCAAGTATACAAGAAAATGATTGGGATATTCTAATAGGCAAGAAAACCCCCTCCTCTTCCTAGATTTCCTAGATACTTTGCTTTTCGTGTGCCACCCAACACTCCCACCATTAAAATAATTTTCTTAGGTACGATATTTTCATAAGGTCTTTGTAAAACTAGAAATGTTAAACATGGGCCATAACTCATCAGCATCCCCTGAAGTTTTAGGATATTAGTCTCTTTCTGAGAAGTAGACCAAAGAACAAGTGACTGTGTATGAATTTGGGGAAGGTCATGAAAGTCTGATCCTAGATGGACAAGATTTAACTGTGGGAGGAATGTTGTTTTGAGAATATCTTTGGAAAATAAGAGTATACCCACTCCTCACTTATCCACACGGTTAGGTTCCAAAGACCAGGTTGTTATGTAAAAATCAGTGTTATACGAAACAGAGGAAGACCGTATCAGATCACAAAATGGAGGATGACTCCATCATTACATAACTGCTAGATTATATCATTCCATAACTGCCAAACTACTGAGAACTATGGCCCAGCCAAGTTCATACATAACCCTCACCACCACAGCCAGTCACAGCCAGTGCTACTCTCTCAGCATTTTTTTTTCTGCTAGACGTATGTCAGTAAGGTGCAAAATAGTCAGATAGTAGATTTTTTACTATGATTATAAATGTGAAATGTTGGATAATGAGAGAGTTGATAAGTGAGATTTAAGTGTACTTCTATACTGTAGGTTGGCATTAAAAGGCTTGGGAGCAATGAGAAGGCATTTTTGTATCATTAGTTTTATACATTTTAAGGCTGATATGATTATTGCTCTGTTGTTTCAAACAAAGGATGGTCATTCTTGTCCTCAGAGAAGTGGAACAGTAGTGTGACAGGTATTTGTATGATGAACAGTCTGAAACACTCTCAAATTTAAAGGTTGTTTTTTTTTCTCCCTTCATAGCCTGCGCACATCTGAGACCAGCTATCTGAATGAGGCCTTTTCCTTTTATTCTGCAATCAGACAGAGATCGTATTATTCTCAAGTCAATAAAGAAGACAGGTATGCATATTATGTTTTTAGAAAGATGAGGATAAGACACTCAAAATCTTTAGTCTGCATAGAAATTATGCATAAAAGTATACATTATAGCTTTTTTATTGATTTAACAGGAGTTATTGTGTGCCTGCTATGTACTAAGGAACTCTGATGGCAGAGAGGTTAAAGCATTTGGCTGCTAACCAGAAAGTCAGAGGTTCAAACCTGTCAGCCACCCTGTGGGAGAAAGATGAGGCAGTTTGCTTCTGTAAAGATGTACAGTCTTGGAAATCCTGTGGGACAGTTCTACTCTGTCCTATAGGGTCACTGTGTGTTGGAATTGACTCAATGATAGTGGGTAGAGTACTATGTACTAAGCCTACTTGAGTGAGCATATAGAGATATTAAATCACTAAAAGCAGTCAATATTATAGATGTTATAACATTGGTTACAGTACCAGGGTAGAGTCAGAACAAAAAGGAGGGAATGTGGTCACACAAGGCTTCATAGAACAGAACTGACTCCAAAGTGAAGCTTAGTTAGTAGTCTTCGTTCTTTTTAGCTTGTTTTTCTTAATCTTTATTCATATACATTCAAAACCCTGTTAAAAACTGTTCTATGGGACTAGAAATAAAGCTGCTAATGGTATTTGAATTTTCTTTTATAAACCCAGTACTGTTTTGCAGTTGAGTAGATCTACTGTTGAAAAAAAATGAATCATGTGAAATTTATTCATTCCCAGTAGAAATCTATGGTGCACTTCTTATATATCTGACACTGGTAGGTGTTTGTATAGGAGAGGAAAATACAAAAGAAGCAGTTGTTTTCCCTTCAGAAGCTAACCTTCTAATGGGGATTAGAGACGTTTTAGACTATAAGTAGACTATGATGATGTTAGTTCCAAATGAGGATGGAACTGTGTGAGAAATTTGGCATCAAATTCTGTTCAGATGGAGTCTTATAAGGACTCTGTTGCTCACATTCCAAGAATTGTTGGAAGAGAAACTTCAGGCATGGAATACTGAATTTTCTCTCTACCTCCAGCATCAGAATTCACGGTTGTTCTACAGTGAAAAGATTATACTCTTAGCAATGGAAGGAAACATAGTGTTGACATGCTTTTCCAGAGGACATTTTTTGGTTCACTGTAAGCTTTCCAGCTAAGCAGCAATGATTTTGGAAATCCCCACTCTTACAAATCCCCTTCATTTCCTTGTACATCTTGTTCAAACTTGTCTGAAGAGGAGTTTCCTTGATACAAGTAAGGCATGTAGTTGCAGAATTCTACATTTTCTCCTTGGGTGCCTTTCTGTTATCACCTCGCTTCATTCTTGTATCAGTTGTGTAAGTTCCATCGTTGTTTCTTTCAGGTTTTCTTTTGGTTTGCTTCATATACTTCGACTACAGATATATTTCATTCAACTCTAATTTTTTTGTTTACATACATGTTGTATAATTTGTCTTCTTGGTGAGACAAATTATGTCTATGAAAGAATGCAAAAGGGCTCTTTCACATTTTATCAGCTTTAGAAATACATAGAAGCAGAGTACTATTTTAAGCAATAGCAAAATATCTTGTATAATTCATTTTTCTTCATTTTCTAACTTGCCAAAGGAAAAATAGGCATTGAGCCCTTTTATTTAAAAGCCAATTCTGATTTATTAAAATACTTTTCACCTTTAATAGCCAACACCACATATGAATTGTTTTCCTATGCTGGCTCCTAGATCAGGGCAGATTAACAAAGGATAATTTGAGATCACGATGACATAATATCTTGCCTTGGGCTAGTAAATTAGAATCAAAGGACAGTCTACTGTGCAGAACTTTTCCCTTGATCTATGTACTTAGGAAGGGCTGTTTTCAGTTCACACAGGGTAAGGATCAAGGTCAAGGTAGCAATCAACAACAGCTTCTAAAATTATCAACCAATAGATAAAACCAAGAGCGAGAAAGAATCCCACGATTTGCTATTCCACTTAATACATTTTTTTTTTCCTCCTTGAGGAGAGCAAGTTCTGTCTGCATTGTCTCAGTACCTAAGGCTGTGTCAAGGCCAGGAGGGATGGTATGTTCCAGCAGTCACCAAGGTGACTGCCTATCACTAAGCGTGGACTGCTCTCAGAATATCTCATTCCATGGACCCATCCTGTTTAGTCGAGGAGTTATCACATAGTTACTCATCCCAGGAGCTGCAAATCCCAGCTCTGTTGTAAATGGTTATGATTTTACCTGATCAGAATTGGATATAGAGAAAGTGAAGTTTCTGACTACACAAGAGGTTGAAGGGAGATTAGAGTTCACAACCTGGAGGAACAAAGTTTCCCAGTTAAAAACTCATTGTCTTATAAGCAGTGGGCCTGGCAGATTGCCCAAAGCTGATAATCTCAAGTGTCAGAAGTTCATCAAGAAAATTATGATGTCAGCTTTAGTGGTAGATAGTATTGAAGTTTTTTTTTTTTTTTTTTTAAATAGTGGGACGTGTGAATCTAAAATTCAAGGCTTTGGCACTTTGTAGCAGGGTTGGTGAAGATAAGGAAAATTTAGTATGTACCTGTTTTGGTTTTAGTGCTGCTCTAACAGAAAATGCCACAGGTGGATGGCTTTAACAACTAGGGATTTATTCTCTTACAGTTTAGGAGGCTAGAAGTCCGAGTTCCAAGTGCCAGCTCCAGGGACTGGGTGAAGGCCCCTTGACCTTAGGCTTCGGCCCTGCTCTGCCTCTTGCTCCTGGCTCACTGGAGCTGGAGTGTCTCTTAACTCAGACAGCTGCTAGCTGCTGAGGCTGACAAACCCAAGATCAACAAGTAAAATGGCACAGTCCCAAGATTATCAAGCAGCATGGCAGGCCACTAGTTCAAGTCCAGAAATAGTCTCAAGATTGGCAGACAACATGGCAGGCCACTGAGATGAAGACTCAGCCAAATGCAGGATCCAAATGTAGCAAAAAGCGCCAGACCTCTTTCAGAGTGTCTTCGTCTGTACTGGAAGCAGACCTCATCCCTAAGGCAGCTGCTCCTCATCTGCTCACTTCAGATTTCCCCATGGAGCTGATTACCAGTCTCATCATGGGGAATCACTACATCAGCTGCCTAGCCACTCAAAACCAGGCCTAGCCAAGTTGACACATAACCTTAACTATCATGGTACTTTTCCAGTGAAGTTTACGGGATGACTTTTTTGCTCCATTTTGATGTAGGGTCAGCCTGGCTTATGGGTTGTGGTTCTGGTTTTGCAGCTTGATTGGCATGATCTCTCATGTGTGTGAGTGGATAGCACTTCATCAGTGCTTTGTGGTAGTTTAGCACCAAAACCAAAATAGACTGCACCTGTCTTCTGTATGTTTATTTAAATATACATATCAAATTTGGGAGGATAAATGACATAAGAATGGCAAAAGTGTGTTAAGTGTGGAATCTGGGTGATAAACAGATGCATGCTCATTATATAGTGTCCTCTTTTGTGGAAATTTTCAAGATACATAATGTTTAGCAATAAAAATGTGTAAAATACCAAGAGCATATATCTTTCATATGCCACATTTAATTCATTGCCAAATTTTCTTGGTTGCTTTTTTTAAAATAAACCTGCAATCTGGCTACTTCTCACTACTTTTACTGCTACTTCCCTCACGTGGGCCACTATCCTCTCTGACCTAAACAGTTGTAATAGCCTCCTTACTGGTCTTCGGTGTGCTACCTTTGTCCCTGCCATGGTTCATTCTCAACAGAGATTCCTGGGTTGTTGTTCTTCTCAAAACCCTTCAGCTCTGTCTCACTTAGATAAGAGGAGAAAAAGTCTTGAACTTGAAGACATATGAACAGAAATTACCCAGTTTGAAAAACAGAGAGAAAAAAGGTATTAGGAAGCCTCAGGGAAAATACCAACCAGTTCCACTTACAGGTACCTGGGGTCCCAGAAGAGGAGAGTATTTGGGGAAGAAAATAGTATTTGAAGAAAAATGGCTAACATTTTCTCAAATTTGAGGAAAAACAACTTTTCTAACTAAAAGAAGGGACTCTGTCCTTGAATTTTTGACATTATACTGCTTAGCACTTAGCCTAGTGCCTGGCACATCTAAGTTTTCAATAGATATTTATTGAATGAATGAATGAATCCTTGAAAAAGACTATATGGTCTTTAAATAAAGTACATAAAAACCTTGTTCCACAACCTACGTTGGTGAGAAGAGACTGGGGTCTTAAAAGCTTTCAAGTGGCCATCTAAGATGTAGCTAATAGTCTCCTATTGTCAGAAGCAAAGAAGAGTGCAAAAGGAAAAAAAAAAAAAAAAGGACATTTGGAAGCATTCAGTCCTAGGACATGAAGGACCTTGAGACCAGAAGAACTAGATGGTGCCCAGTAACCAATGCCAACCACTCAGCAAAGGATCAAAAGTGGAGATCCTGGACAGACCGGGAGGAAAAACGTGGGACAAAATCCAAAAACACAATAATGACCAGAATTACAGCTTGAATGGAGTCTGGTGGAACCCCCAATAGTATGGCCCTGGGATACACTTTGGGCCTGGAATAAAACTCACTACCAGGGGCTGGCTCTCAGCCTAGTAGTAAACAAGATGTGCACACAGACCACTCAACCCAGGATGACACACCCACATACTCTATGGGGATGCATCCCTTGGAGCAGTTGACCACAGGGCACCAGAGGGGCAACATTTGCACGAAGGAAATGCAGGACACACAGGAGTTCATAACTATGAGGGGCCCTGGGGGGGGGGGTGTTACTGGGCAGGAAGGGGAGGAGACTGGGTTAGGGTTGAGGTTGGTAATTGGGGAGTGAAACCAAATGTACAAGAAATGTTGAATGTAAAACAAGCTCTGCTCTGTAAACTTGCACCTAAAGCACAATTGGAAAAATAATCGTTCATATTTATACATATATAATACTTTAATATCATCTTCTGGGTTCCTGTTGAAGAGGGATAATGATGTCCACAGATTTCCTGCCCCATGAGAAATGTGCAAAAATCAACAGAGCCGTTTACAAAAGTCATATATCAACATCAGAGCTAACAAGCAGACACCCACCAGTCCCCTTTGGTAATCTAAAACTAATTGGACACACATACCCAACAGCACACTCCAGCAGGAATAATCAGGATTAAGGAAGGGAATGTCTATTCAACATTCAAATTACCCTCAAGGAATACAGCTCCAATAGGCAAAAAAGGTTAAAAAAAAAAAAAAAAGACTATATGGTTACATATGGAAATGCTCATAACTGCAAAAAGGCATCTAAAGAGATTTTAAGGCTGTCAGAAAATGGAAAAAAATAAATACATATATACTTTTTAATAAAGTGAGTAATTTTCCATTTATCTTCCATAGGCCTGAATTGGTAGTTAAGAAGCTACGATACTATGCAAGATTTATAGTAGTTTGTCTTCTTCTCAACAAAATGGATGTTGTGAAGGACCTGGTAAAGGTAAGTATACTTTAAAAGAATTTAAATCCTAAATTCTAATTGTGCATGGATAATTTTGGGTTTTTAAAAATAGATTTATGACTAAAATAATTTTGATACATATAAATAACTACAACATTAAAAATAAATTACCTTCTGACAAAGACAGTGATAAATTTTTTTTTTTTCCATTTATCTTCAAACACACTTACACTAAACAAAGATAACTATCTTAATTCCTTGCTCTTATCCCTTTAGCATGTTTTATATTTCATAGCCCATCAATAAAATGGTTGGGAAATATAAACAAAAGTTCACATATTTAAGAGAAAATAATTTAAAAGTTAGGAAAAATATAAATACTATTTTAGAAGCCATTGTGAATGACTTTTGGTTTTTCCACCACTTTTGAGGGATTGCATCACTGTGCTTCACTAACTTAGGTAACCAAGAGTTATTTGTATTCTGGATCCACTTAATACCTGTGGTTGTTGTGTACTAAATGCTGGTGGCACTCAGTACTCAGTAGTTTTGATGGCATCCTTCTTAAATTTGGGTATTCGAGCATAACGGTGCTTTGACATGGTCACCAGAAGTAGCTCTCCATACCCCTGCCCTCCTGTCTCTTCTCCCACCTGTAGTTACTAACAAGATTATTTAAAAAACAAACAAAAACCTAGTATGATATAAATCCAAAGAAATTCAAGTAGATGGTATTCATTTTGAAAATATTTATTCAGGTCTTTCTACTCTTTCCTGAAATTTTTGGATTTTCTTCTTTAAAGTTTTTCTACTAAAAAATTTATTGCTGGCTTAGCACTGAGTTTATATGCATCACCCTAGTCTCTATAAAGGGAGTTCTGGTAGTGTAGTAGATAAGGCACTTGACTGCTAAACGAAAGGTCAGCGGGTCAAACCCACCAGCTGCTTTGTAGAAGGAAGACGGACCCATCTACTTCTGTAAAGATTTACAGCCTCGGAAACCCAGTAGGGGTCACGGTGAGTCAGAAACGACTCGATGGCAGTGAGTTTGGTCTTTTTGGTTTAAGTCTCTATAACGATATTGCTTCATGTTCATCGAGCTGGAGTTTCTAATTTTGAAGCCTATCCATGTGGTTTTATTTCTTTTGTTTTCTATTAAAAATAGGGACTGCGTGTTGATTATAATCAAGCTTCTTAACTATCATTTTCTGTCAGGAGTATGATACAATATAACTATCTATTTTAGTGTTGTGTTTTTATAACCCTTTTGCTTTATGGTACTTTAAAATCAGGAATTATCAGATGAAATTGAAGATTATACTCACCGCTTTAATACTGAAGATCAAGTGGAATGGAACTTGGTGCTTCAAGAAGTGGCAGCTTTCATTGAGGTCAGTTTCTGACTAGGAAAATTGTCATAATTATGGGTAAGTAAAGGGCTGTGTGGTACACTTATGTATTTTGTGTGTATATCAAGACAAATAGCTTAGAATATTAGTATCTTGTCTTGTGCCATTAACTACCTGTGGCTTCTTTCTTGTAGGCGGACCCTGTTATGGTATTAAATGATGATAATACCATTGTTATCACATCTAATCGTCTTGCTGAAACAGGAGCCCCACTGCTGGAACAGGGCATGATTGTGGGTCAGCTGTCTCTGGCCGATGCCCTCATTATTGGTAATTGTAATAATCAGGTAAAGAGCTGTGAAGGAATTATGCTTACATTTTTAAAAAATACTGCTTTTGAGTATCACAGAGTTCTTATTACTGTGTATATTTCTTAACATCCATTTGTGAGGAACTTAATTAAATAGTGCTGTGTCCATATGTGGAATATAATGTTTAAATCGTTTACAAAGAATTTTTAATGTCAGGGGAAGATGCTTATGATAAATGATAAGGTAAATGAGAAAAACCTATTACGGAGCTGTATTGGCAGAATAATTTCGTATGTGTCAGGATATCTCTCTCTATATATGCATATGCATGGGAAGAAGACTAGAAGGAAATTTATCAGTATCGTAAAATGTTTCTCTCTGAAGAGTAGATTTATAGTTTTATTTTCTTTATAACTTTCGAAACTTTCCAAATTTCTGTGTATTAATTTTACAGTAATAAAAATAAAGGTTTCTTTTATTGAGATAAAATTTACATACCATGAACAGTGCTATTTTAAGCATCTTAAAATAAACAACTTACGACGTAGTAGCTCATTCACGACATTGTGCAACCATCACCACTATTTGGTTCCTGAACATTTCCATCACCCTCCAAAAACTCCGCATCCATTAAGCAGTCACTCCTTCTTCCTAACCCCGGTCCCAGCACCTGGCAACCACTAATCTTATCTTCCGTCTCTATAAATTTCTGTATGCTGGACATTTCGTATAAACGACTCATGCATATATGACCTTTTGTGTCTGGCTTTTTTCACTTAGCAAAATGTTGTGGTAGCGTGTGTCAGTACTTCCTTCATCAAGAGGTGGTTTTTCACCTTCTACAAAGCAGCTGGTGCGTTTTTCAGGTACATTTGTCAAAGGTGAATTTTAAGTATTTTTTCATGAGAAAATAGCCCTATGATGGTGAGGATTAATTTACTGGAAATTACAGGATCCTGGAAAAACGTCATCAGTGAATATGGTTTTCTGTCATGTGTGTTTACATATGTTGTGATTTTGGACTTTTCCCAATCACTTATTGTTTCTGTTATTGTTAAATTTTTACAATATTCTTCCTTTTTTGTATTTTATAGACATTATTTCCAGATTTCTAAATTAAAACATTGAAAAACTATATGTATACATAAACTATAAATGTGCATACATCTAATGGACAGATTTTGAAACATATGTATGGTTTATAGAGTTATATTATCTGAAAGGCTCAGGATTTTTCTCATCTTTCTTTTTTTCATTCAGAGAAAATTTTGCTAACCAAGGAAAGGAAAATCAAAATCAATTGAAATATCACCCACTTTGGCTAAAAACAAGGCAAAACAGACAAACTGATTATACCAGATCCCTACATACTTGGGCAAAAATTGTATATCTCATACTTGTTAGTAAACAAAAAGACTAAACTCACTGCTGTCGAGTCGGACCTGACTCATAGCGACCCCTCCTTGGGTTTCCGAGGTGATACCGCTACGGAAGTAGATTGCCCCATCTTCCTTCCGAGGAGTGGCTGGTGGGTTTGAATCGCCAGCCTTCTGGTTAGCGGTCAAGTGCCTTAAGCACTGCGCCAGGAATGTAAATTAGTACACCTGCTTGAGAATAGTATTAGACAGTGTCTGCAGCAAAATCTACGTCCCTGTGACCCCGCAGTTCCATTGTCTCTTAGTGATTTGTAGGAGTTCCTCATATTTTCTGCATGAGTGTTTGTCGTCTGATTCATGTATTGCCAGCAACTTCTCCCTACTCTGTGACTTGCCTTTTACCCTCTTCCAGTGTCATTTGAAGAGCAGAAGTCCTTAATTTTAAAGTACCCCAATTTATAAGTGTTGTCTTTTGTGGTAAGTGGATTTTTGTTCCCTAATTTGAGAACTCTTTGACAACTCCAGAATGATGAAGATAAACTCCTGTTTTTTTCTAAAACCTTCATCAGCTTGCTGTTCACATTTAGATTTACCGTGCATCTGGGCTTACTTTGTCTTGGTGTGAAGAGCTGGTCAAGATCCCCATGGGGATTTCCAGTAGCCCTTGCACAGATTACTGAGAAGGCCTTCTTTCCCCCGCTGCTGCGCAGTCACTGGTATCATAAACTGATGACCAAATTTGTGTGAATCTGAACTCTGGTTCTCTTTCTTTGGTTCATTTATGTACCATGCCTTGATTAATATAGCGTTGTGGCAGCTCTTGGTATCTTGTAGTGAATGAGATACAGATTATCTCTGTTTGTTTTCTCTTTCATTGATTTCTGTTCCTACTTATTTCCTTCTTCCTACTTTGGATTTAATTTGATCTTTTCTACTAACAGTAGAGTCTTAGATAATTGATGTTAGAACTTTTTTCTCTTTTAATATAAGAATTTAAAACTATAAAATTTCCTCTAAGCATTACTTGAACTTCATTCCACAGATTTTGATATTTTGTGTTTTTATTTTCATGCAGTTCAGAGTACTTTTTCATTTCCAGTGATTTCTTATTTGACCCTGTTGATTTGTTTGTTGAATTGTGTGTGTGTGTGTGTGTGTGCCGAAACCCAGGCACGAACTTCTTCTCTGACTCTTAAAACAGTGTATCACGTCCCAGTACTAGTTGGTTTCAGGTAGACTCTGATTCGTGGGGACCCATGTGTGTCTGAGTAGGACTGTGCTTCGTAGGGTTTTCTTTGGCTGGTTTTTAGACGTAGGTCACCAGGTCTTTCTTCCAAGTCACCTGAGGGTAGACTCAAGCCTCCCACCCTTCAGTTAGTAGCTAAGGTCATTTACTGTTGGCACAACCCAGGGACTCCAGTATATTCCATACCCTCATTCTTTTTGTGATTGTTATGTACTTGTATGTATGTTATAAATCTAATAATATATTCTGATCTTTTATTAAATTTGATTAAAATAACATCTTTAAAAATGTATCTTTTCTTTTTATGGTAGCTTAGGTGAAAGTTTATAGAGCAAGTTGATTTTCTACTCAACAGTTTACACACATCTTGTTTGGTAACGTTAGCTGCAACTCCCTCAGGGTAACAGCACTCTTCCCACTTCCTCCTTGGGTTCTTCGTATCCATTTGTCCTTTCCTGCCCCGTCCTGCCTTCTGAGCTTTGTTTAGGGGCAGATATGGTCCTTTCGGTCTCATATGGTTAATTGTTCTGAGAAGTACGTTCCTCATGAATGTCATTGTTCATCTTACAGGCCTGTCTAATTAGTTTGGTGAAAGGTGATCCTCAGGTACGGGTTCAGTGCCAGGTTTGAAGGGTGTCTGAGGGCCATCGTCTTGGGGATCCCACCAGTCTCTATCAGGCCCGTATGTCTCATCTTCTATGATTTGGAGTTTTGTTCCACATTCTTTTGCATTCTATGCATGACTTTCTGTGGTCCCTATCCAAGCAGTCAGTGGTAGTAGCCAGGCACTATCTAGTTCTTCTGGTCTCTGCATAGTGGAGACTGTGGTTTGTGTGGTTCCTTAGTCCTTTGGGGTAATTGTAAAACAAGTTATCTTTCAAAGAAGTTTTTAAATCAGAGGAAGAAATACTTTATTTACTATTTCCAACACTCTTCATTTGTTGGTGTAGAATCCAGTTTCCATCTGTTAATATTTCCTCTTTCCTGAAGAAGTTCCTGTAACAGCTCTTATACTACAGGTATGCTGGTGACAAATTCTCTTGGCTTTTGTTTATCTAAAAAGCAGTCTTGACTTCTTCTCTCACTGAATGTAGTATTCTAGTTGACCATTTTTTCTTTCAGCACGTGAAAGATTTTGTTCCATTGTCTTCTAGATTACACATTTTCTGGCAAGAACTCTGTTCTTATTCTTATCTTTGTTCTTATGTATGTAAGTAATAATATGTCACTTTTCCTCTGGCTTATTTCTTTTCTTTCTTTTTTTTGTACAGTGATGATTTAATTTTATTTGTCATAAGTGAGTAAGAACTTAACTAGAGAAGTGACCTGTGATTGGATTACTAACAGAAAGGTTGATAGCCTCAGAACATCTGAATCAAAACCAAAGCTATTATTGCTAATAGACAGCTGCCAACACTTCCTTCATGTCTGCCTGGGGCAGGTTTTTTCTAGTGTGTTCCTTCCCTGAGAAGATACTAGCATTTACTTACCTTCCTAAACCTTTTCTTCTCCAATTCTGGCCTCTGAGGAAATGCTATCTTTAAAAATATATATATATATTATTTATTATTGTGCTTTGGGACTCACTCCCAAGGTCTGGCTCTCGGCCCAATAGTAAATAAGATGTACATGCAGACACTCAACCCAAGGCGATGCACCCACATACTCTCTGGAGGAAATGCTTTCTTTTCTTTCAGGTTCCTCTCTGTCTCGAAGGCTAGTGTTTATGGATACCTAACTTTTCTATAATTGGAAGAAGAAGCTTTATTTCTATTTTTTAAATATAACTCAGTGCCCTCGAGTCAGTCTCAACTCATAGCAACCCTTCCTTGAATTTCTGAGGCAGTATCTCTACAGAAGTATGTTGCTCAACCTTCCTTCCAAGGAATGGCTGGTGGGTTTGAACCACCAGCCTTCTGGTTAGCAGTCAACTGCCTTAGGCACTATGCTACCAGAGCTACTATTTTTTAACTATAGACATGGTTATTTTATTTTCTAAAGATAATGGTAATCTTTTTAATGTCTGATATTGGGAGATTAAGGCACTCTGGTGGTGTAGTAGTTAAGGCATTTTGTTAATAACCAAATGGTCAGTGGTTTGAATTCACCAGCTGCTCTGTGGAAGAAAGATGAGGCAATCTGCTTCCGTAAAGATTTACAGCCTTAGAAACCCAACAGCAGTCTCTGTGAATCAGAATCAACTTGATGGCAGTGAGTTTGGTTTTTTTGGTATTGGGAGATTAGAGTTCAACAAAATGATTCAGGCATTCTTCAGTAAGTTAGTCTTTATTGAGTGCCAGTTATATACCAGGTACTGGGGTTGAATGGGAGAAAAAAAGAAAAGACACACAGTGCCTTTCCTGATGTAGCTGACAGTCTGCTGTGAAGACAGACATTAATCAGATTATCATATCACCTGAATAAAAATGAAGTTGCCACTTCAACAAATGTGACAAAAGAGATGTGTATGGTTCTGACTAGTTATAATCATGGATTTGACCTAGTCTGAGAAGTCACTGGAAATTTTTTTGAGAATCGTATTTTGAGCTAGGAACTATAAAGGGTAAATAATAGAATTTAATCATGTGAAGAGCAGAGTGTGCTAGGCTGAGGGAAGAGCATGTGTCATGGCCTGGAAGACGGAGGGGTCATATTAAGTATGAGAGATTAAAAGATAGGTAAGTAAAGTGGAAGGACCCACAGGAGCAAAGAGTGTGAGGATGAGAGGTAGGTAGGGCTGTATCAGCTTGGCTTTGTAGACCATCCTAAGTAATTTTTCTAGGAACCTATTAGAGTGCTTAATGCAGGGGAGAAACTTCATGAGACCTGGATTTCAGAAAGATCATTTTGATTGTAGTTGTAGAGAACAAACTGAAGCCAGAATGGGTGTGACAGTGCACTTAGGAAATTGTGGCAATAATCTTGGTAAGAGATGATAGTATTTTGTATTAAAGGGATTGTGGTGGTGATGGAACTGGTTTCAAGAAATATACAGGAGGTGCAACCAGCAGCATTTGGTATTTAGTTCGATATGGAAGTAAGGGAGGAGTAGATATCAAAGGTGACATTTAGGTTTTTGGCTTCTTGTACAGGTAGGTATATGATAATATAGGTCACTGAACCTAATTATTTGGTTTGGGATGTAACAAACCTATCTACAGAGAAGAATATATGAGAAAGAATTAAATGTCTGAAGAGTGAGGAGTCAAAGGACAAAAGCAACATTTAGGAATAGGAACTAGAGAAGTGCAAATGATAATCAGGCATGGAATATCAGTTTGAGATCAACAAGCTTGAAGTATGAGGAAGAACTCTCTTGGCGTGAAAACAGTCTGGTTTAAAAGGGTATGGTAGCTCTTACTGGGTTAAAATAGCTATCTATAAATCTCCTGTATATAGAACTCATTCCTTTAAACTCTCATGTGGCAAAAATATTGTACCCAGAGTGTGTGAGCTTATTTTTGTGCCTTGTGTCAGACAAAGTGGACAGGACAAGTGAGCCTGATCATTTTTGCTAAGCCCTGTCTAAAGGGTCTTCTTTCATTTCCTTGTGTAGAAGTTACAGGACTAACTGGTGATGAATGGATGGAATTTAAGGGCAGTCTTATCACATTTCAAAAAAATGTTGGCTGTGCTTAGAAAATCCCATCTTTGTGACATTGCTCTGTGAAATTTTGATGGATGAGAATTTAATTTTGCTTAGTCTGCTTGAAAAATATTTTGAATGAGTCAACTATTTGAAACTGTAGTGAATAATCTTAATAACCTGATACCTGGTTAAACTAAGTAATTAATAAGTATTATTGAAAATAGAAAAGGGTGCGGTCTTAAACATTGTATAGTGCCAAAATGTATTGAAGAAATTGTAAAGTATGGGTCACAGCCATATTTCAATGGCCTGGTTACTTTGTCCAATGTTAGCATGTTTTATCTCTGTATTTACAACATGACTACTTTATTTTGAACACTTGAGAAAATTGATGGATCAGTAGAAGAATGGATTGATGATGAGATATATGATAAATAGATATAACAAGTGTTAATAATAGGATCTAGATGCTAGGAATATAGGTGTCACTGAAATTCTTTAAACTTATCTTTCTTTGAAAAAGGATCTGTGGTAGCATAGTGGTTAAAGCATTCGGCTGCTAACCAGAAGGTCACAGGTTAAGACCCACCAGCCATTCTGTGGGAGAATGATGAAGCAGTCTCCTTCAGTAAAGATTTACAGCCCTGGAAACCCTATGGGCATTTCTCCTCTGAAAACAGTCACTATGAGTCGAAATCCACTTGATGACATTGGGTTTGGTTTTTGGTTTTGGTTCTTCGAAGGTTTCCATAATGAAATATTGGAGAATAAATTACCTAATGTCATTAAGTACACCCAAATGTCAATAATAATAATTGGAGGAAAGACTTCAAGGTCTGTGAGCTGCATTAATGGCTAGGTCTGTGTGTTCGCAGGTTAAGTTCAGTGAACTAACTGTTGACATGTTTCGGATGTTACAAGCTCTGGAAAGGGAGCCGATGAATTTAGCTTCCCAGATGAATAAACCAGGAATGCAGGTAATCTTCCACCTACATTTGGAGTTTTGGTAACAGTCCTGCTTCTGTTCCTCACGGGATGGAGTCCATTATTCAACTAATATTGTAAGTGCAGGTTAAGTTCTCTTAATGAGAAAGAGGAGAAATAGATAAATGTGAAAGTCATGGTAAAGAGATACTTACTAAAGAGGATGGTGAATCCGATCTGCAACCTATACAACTATGAGACCAGAAGAACTAGATGGTGCCCAGCTACCACTGCCATCCACTTGGAAGGGATGTAGGAGATCCTACATAAAGAGGGAGAACAATGTGGAACAAAACTCAAAATCATTTGGAGGCAAAAAAAAAAAAAAAAAGAAGGTGGGGACCAGGTTTGCTCATCCAATAGAGCCTGGTGTAACCACTGAGACTATGGCCCCTAGCTGCCCTTCAGGTCTGGAATTGAACCCACAACTGTGGTTTCCAGCCAAACAAAGTACAGGCATGTGAGTTAAACATTTACCTCAAGTAGACACACGCCCTGGAGAGAACAATCATGGGAGAAGGAAGGGCTGCTTATGCACAGGGAGATAGCTCAGGGTGCAGAGGAGTATGAAGGGATGGACACTGGGAGGAGGTAACTGTGGGGAGGAAGTGGGAGGGGAGCTGCTGCATTGTAAATTTTGGTCAATGACATGAGACAAAGTATATGTGAACTGCTGTATGAAAAGTGAATTTACTCTGTAAATCTGCACCCAAATCCTAATAAAAAAAAAGAGGATGGTGAAAATGAACACTGTTGAGTCATCTGCTGAGTACAACTTGCAGGTATGTTGTTTTCTGTCTGTAAATGCAGGAATCAGCTGACAAGCCAGCCAGGAGAGAAAATCCCCACAAGTACCTGCTCTATAAACCAACCTTCAGCCAACTTTACACATTCTTAGCAGCATCTTTTAAGGTAGGTATGATGTAATATTTTATTACTATATGGGGAAGGTGTGCCCTAGCTGGAATCTGAAGATGTCTTCTCTTTCAATATTTGAGTCAAGAATTTAGGTATAATATTGAAATGAAAATCTGCCTTTAAAATGACTATCCTGATCTTAACTGTTTTTGAAATGGGAATTGCCTTTGATGCTGTGAATGTCCCTCACTATTAGTTAATGGGATGCTGATTTTTGTCTCAGTTATCTAGTGCTGCTATAGCAGAGACACCGCAAGTGAGTGGCTTTAGCAGACAGACATTTTCTCAGCGTTTAGGGGGCTGTGATTCTGAATTCAGGGTGCTGACTCTAAGAGAAGCTTTTCGTTCTCTGTCGCCTCTGGAGGAAGGTCCTTGCCTCTAGCTTCTCCTTCCTGATTCCTTGGAGATCTCCATGTGTTTTGACATCTTACCCCATCTCTCCTTTTCTTAACTTGTTTAACCTCCATTATATCTTGAGACTGACTCAAGACACACCCTATACTAATCCTGCCTCATTAATATAGCAAGGACAACCCATTCCAAATGAGGTTATACCCAAAAGCATAGATAGATGTTAGGGTTTATAACACATATTTTGGGGGGACACAATTCAATCCATAACAATTAATTAGCATTCTCCTTCCTCTAGGTGTTTGTTTCTAAACTACTTTAGGTATAACAGTCACTGCAGAACTCAAAAACAGGAACAGATATGCACGGGCATGTCATATATTCAAGAGGCTCCATGAAGATTTTGGTCATCTTAAAGAACTATAAGAAATAGGAGAATTCTCCCCAGAGATTATGGAGAGAAAGTCAAGGAGGAGAGTCTGTCTTTTAGACATATAGTTGGAATCCATACTTCTCCATTTCAAATTTTCAGAGACCATTCTATGACTGATGGAGTTTGTGAAGCAGATAATATCTTCACACCTTTTGGTAATAGTTTTAGATTGTAGATTAATTGAGTGAGTTGTCTTAGAAAAGATAATAGTATATTAAATTAGGTGTATTCCCCCCCTTACTTTAAATATCATGAAATTGAACTAAAATTGTGCTGTTTTTACTGTTTGTGTTTGTGTATGTGGTTTTCTTTAATTTCAGGAGCTGCCTGCCAATAGCGTGCTTCTGATTTACCTGTCAGCCACTGGCGTTTTCCCCACAGGTCGTTCTGATAGTGAAGGTACAATAAAGGAATGCTCCCTGTTGTGAGCAGGGCTTGATTCTCTTTATTTTCTACAAGACTATGGCCCGTAGCCCACAGACCATCTCAAGCTTTCTAGAACAACAACAACAACAAAAAAAAAAAACAAACCACTGCTATTGAGTCAATTCCAACTCATATCAACCTCCATTGGGTTTCCAAGGCTGTAAATTTTTTACAAAAACAGATTGCCTCATCTTCTTCTGGCAGAGCAGTTGGTGGGTTTGAGCCATTGACCTTCTGGTTAGCAGCCAAATGCTTTACCAACTATGCCACCAGAGCGCCTTCGTTGCTCTAGAGAGGCTTTCAATTATGAAATCTTGTCTATTTGTTAAATGGGAATCATGTAGATACCCCAGTCTGTTTCATTTGCTGGAGTAGTATATGTTGAAGCCTATAAACCATCAGAAAATTCACCTTTAAAAGCATGCTTCAGTTTCAAATTTTCTTAACGCATATTTATGTAAGGAGTTTTTTGTTTTCAATTTATAAAGGATGGTGGAAAACCAACCATGTGAGTATATACTTCACATCAGTGAATTTTTCAGAAACTTTAGTGCACTAGGCAATCTGGTCAGCGGCTACAGTGTGGCTGAGAGTCTTTGTAGAAATCAATGCACTTTTCTGTGAAAGTTCAAGTCTTTGTCATGATTTTCTTGGTTTTGTCTTTTCTTGACTACGTTCTTATGGATTCAACCTGTGGAATATTGGGATGCGGTTTCTAAAAACTGTCCAGGATTGCTCAGAATATGAATAACTTGTATGTAAATAAGACAATTAAATCTTTAGGGAAAAAGATAATTCTTAACATTCTTAACATTTTCCTCCTCATTTGTTTGTTGAAATTTGCATTCCTTTATACAATGCATGTCCCTGTCATCTTCCTTGCATGACCAATATATTCTCCTGAAATGTTAAAATGAAAACAAAACAAAACAAAACAAAAATCTCTGTGGTCTTTTCATTGCAGTGATTTATTTTAAGGGAAAAAATATAACACAACATTGAATGATACTAAATCTTAAACTACTTGAGTTTATTTTTGGTAATAAAATTAGTCATTTTATTTAGAAATAATTACCATGTCTTAAGACACTGTTGAATCAGATTTTCTGGGCCCTACTTAACATACTCTTGTTTTACTTTTTTTGAAATTACTGTGGGTACTGACTAAATGGTCCCTTGAGACATTATTCTGGACATCCTACAGTTGCTGTTTGATTTAGACAAGAATTTGGCTAACTGATGTGATGATGGGGAAAGGTAAACTTCTAAATGAGAACCACACTGGTTGATATAAGACTGAAAAGAATGGATTTTTCACACACTGAAATTTAACAGTAAAAAAAAAAAAGAACCACTGCCATCTAGTCTGTTCTGACTCATAGCACCTCTGTAGGGTTTCTAAGGCAGTAAATTTTTACAATAGTTTGCCCCACCTTCCTTCTGTGGAGCCGCTGGTGGGTTTGAACCACCAACCTTCTGGTTAGCAGTCAAATGCCTTAGGCACTGCACCATCAGAGCTCCTTGGAAATTTGGCAATACTTTCGTTAAAAATTAAGTTTTTGTCATGAGAATTTTCAAGTTCTATTCAAATTTTTCCCTGAATATTACAATTAGTGGCTCACTTAAGATTATATGTAAGAGGTAATGAGTAACACATTCTCCAAACTTCCTGGAACCATGAAGTTTGGGTGAACCCCTGAAACTATTACCCTGAGATTATCTTTAAACCTTAAAACCAAAAATATCCCCTTACTCTTCTTAAAATCAAGCAATAGTTCAGCTTAACTAGTGAAAAACATCTGTCTTGAGTATTAGGCTCTTTTAAGAATTATCTATGTGGGATCAAATTGACAACAGCAACTTGAAAGATTGGATGGGAACCTTGGGGTGGGGCAGTGAGTTTGTGTTAATGGGGGAGGAACAACTCAGAGAATGAAGGTAAAAATGGTCACACAATTTGAAGAATGTAGTCAGCGTCCCTGCATAGTACATATAGTGTTGAATTGGTGTATGTTTTGCTATTTATATTCTCAACAACAGCAACAAAATAATTTTTTTAAAAAGTGGTAATTAAGTAAGATTTCACTCTGCAGTGTTCTCATTTAACTACTTTTGTTAAACTTTAAATTTTCATTTTGTTTCAAATGTAAAGATCATTTTAAATATTTCATCTCTAATCCTTTTATCATCCAGAATAATGGGATACAGTAGATTCTTTTTTAAAAAATTTTTTATCATGATTTGGGTGAATGTTAACAGAGCAAATTCACTTTCCATACAGCAGCTCACATATACTTTGTCTCATGACATTGACTACAATTTCCCACAATGCAACAGCTCCCTTCCCACTTCCTCCCAATTACCTCTTCCCTGTGTCCATCCCTCCATGCACTCCTGCCCCCTGAGCCGTTTCCCTATGCATACACAGCCCTTCTATTCTCCCATGATTGATCTCTCCAAGGAGTGTATCTACCTAATGGAAATGTTCAGCTCATATCCCTGTCTTTTGTTTGGCTGGAAGCCACAGGAGTGGGTTCAATTGGAATGCAGTAGATTCTTGTTTTGTTTTTCATAATATTATGTTTGATGAATAGATGATTAATTAAATGATTTTTTAAAAAATGTTGGAACAGGCAACATGCTGAAATCATTTAAATACTGCATTAAATTAAAATGTTAAATTTTTAAATACTCAAAATAATGTTTTGTGACTTGAATGTTTGGTCAATGAGAGATTCACACAGTACTTTTGCATTTAAACATCAGATTAGTGTTACTGTCTAACTGAAGTCTAGGGTTGTTCCATTTGTTTTTATAGGTCCTTATGATTTTGGAGGTGTACTTACTAATAGTAACCGGGATATTATAAATGGAGATGCCATCCACAAACGTAATCAGTCCCACAAGGAAATGCACTGGTATGTACTCTGGTGTTTCCCTTATTCCAAAAATTACAGCTCTTTGTTTTAAAATATTAAGGGAAATGGGGATTTCATTCTACTACTAGGAAAGTTCCCCAGACTGTTATTAACCATTGCCATCGAGTCAGTTCTGACTTAGAGCTACCCTCTAGGACAGAGTAGAACTCTGCCCCACAGGGTTTCCAAGGCTGTCATCTTTACAGAAGCAGACTGCCTCATCTTTCTCCCACAGAGCAGTTGGTGGGTTTGAACCACCAGATCTCTCAGTAGCCAAGCATTTAACCACTGCACCACCAGGGCTCCTTCCGACTGCTATTAGTAACATTTATTTGAATTCCAGCAATAGTTCAATCTCTATCGTAGAAAATTAGAATTTTTAGCTGATGCTCATTTATTAAATATTTTATTGTCTGTTACGTGTTGAGTACTATACAATCTTTGAGGGTATATTGCATTCTACTTGGAGGTGACAATAAATATATACATCAGTAAATAATATGTCAAAACGTGATACATGTTAATATCAGTATCTTTGAGGGGTTTTTTTTTTTATTTCTAAATAAGACTACTCATGTGACTATCCCAATAAATACAAGCTTTTTATTCTTTGGTTAATTGTTTTCCTCTCAGTGCTGTGACTGAAAGGAGTTGTGAACAGACCAAACAGAGAAGTATTTCTGACTTAGCTGATACGATTAAGCAGTTCTTCATGGTCTCTGTTGTTGTTTTCCCAGCCTTCATCCTGGTGATCTCTATCCTTTCACAAGGAAGCCCCTGTTTATCATTGTGGATTCGTCCAATAGTATTGCCTACAAGGTAAGTTCCATGAAGGCTGTTGCACACATTAGACAATAGTATGGCACCAACCCGAGGGTACCCACTCTTAACGTGTGCCTTTTTGTTTTGCTTTGTTTTATTTCGTTTTACACAGTTTGTATTTAGTCTTTCTTTTCTTTTGAGGTTGTGCATGCTAGTCAGGATCTGATGCTATGAATAGAAACAAGAAGAAAGCGCATGAATGGACACTCAGTGGAAAGTAATAAATCTTCCTGCAGGAAAAAAAAAATCAAGATTCCCAAGATCTCTGGTGGGAGGCTTATTTTTGTTCTATAACCCAGAATAATTTTCTTTTCTAGAGAGCATACGGGTGAATTTTCTATTTTTCAAAATTTTTCCCTCTCTACACGCTGAGCCCTTTTAGTTAAGTGACATTTCTATTCCATGTTATAGTCTTTGAATATTAACATATGGTTTTATATACTCTTACGTTTTATTTATTTTTTAATTTGTGATGATCCTGAATGCTGAGATAAATGACAGAGATCTAACTTTAAAATTTTTTGTTTTGTATTTTGCTGTTGAAGAGGTGGTATTTAATAATTCTATAAATAATGTCAGCTTCAGTAAAGCACTTTAAAATTGAATATTAGAATTCAAATAATAGATTGTTTACAGAAACGTGCAAACTGAATCCTCTGTGTCTGGTTAGAATATTCCATTAGTAAATAACATTTTCAGAAATATGCTAGCTTACATCTTTTTTAGCTGATGATTTTGGCTTGGTCATATTCACCAGAGAAGACTCAACCATTCTCGTACATAGACTGTAAAGGTCTGACTACCAGAGTTGTGCTTTGTTTTCCCAGAAGTCTGTGTGTATGTGTGTCTACATATATTTGTATTTATATGTACATGTATCTTTATGTCCCCAGTACCTCACATTTTAAATATCCTTAATAACTATATGTTGAATGACTAAATGAAAGTCAGTGCTGTGAGGAAACAGGCTAAGGAGAGATTAAGTAACGTACTGTCTGATATCAGCGCAAGCATTTCTCATTTCAAAGCCCATTCTCTTTCCACATTTAGAAAAAGAGGAGCTTTGCACGCTAGTCTGAACCTCATTTCAAAGAAGAGTGATTGAAATACCAAGACTTATGTAAGAAGTATGGTTCATATTTTGGCTTTCAAGTTTCCATTAGGAAATTTGAAAAATTTCCCACAAATATTTTTAATGCTAATGAGAAGAACTTTGCTAGACTAGGAAAGTGTGTTAAGTGTAGCAATGGGAATAGTAGAAGTTTTTTAAAAAAATGCCCTTAGTTTGGGGAAATCCTTCTTTCAGTTCTGCTTTCTTTTCTTTGGAAGAAGAAAATTCCTACAAGTATTTAAATATTTATGACAGAACTGGATCTCTGTAAGTGAAAATGACTCACATGTTTGTCAGAACAGACTTATTTATTTATAACAGCCTCATGCTAAAGTATTTGATGACCGGCAGATTGCTGCGTTCTATCCAAGCATTCACCTTTGTAACAGGATGAAGTCACACACAAGAGCACTTCTGCCCGTCAGCCTTTCATTCCATTTCTTTCTTGCTGCTCTGGCAGACCTCTTTGTTTTTAGTGTACGGCAGTTCTACTGTGATATGTCTACGTCGTTTCTTTGTTTTTATCCTGTTTGAGATTTGTTGTTTTTTTTTAATTGCTAGGTTGAAGTCTGCCATTATTTCTAGAAAATTCTCAGCGTTATCTCTTCAAATATCAGCTGTACCTTACCCTTTCTGTCATCTCCTAAAATTCCGATTAAATGTAAATTTGATCTTCTCACTCTGTCTTGTACATCTCTTAACTTCTCTATTTTCCATCTTTTTGTTTCTGTGGTTGAGATTCGGATAATTTATTCTTTTCTCTCTTTGAGTTCACAAATTCTTTCTTAGCTATGTCTAGTTTTCTAGTAAACCCATCTCTTGAGTTTTATATTGGTTATGCTGCTTTTCATTTCTAGAAATGGTTTGTTTCCTTTTCAAATATTCCATGCCACTTTTTATAGTGTTCTATTTTTTTGTTTGTTTGTTTTTTTCACAGTTTTATTTTTAACTCCATTAGCATACTTAGTTTATAATCTGTATCTGATCATTCTGATATCTAAAATCTGCTTTTGCTGTTTAAAGACTCTCTGTGCTGTTTTTGTGTCTTTGTATGCATGTGTGATTGTTTTTGACTATGTTCTCCTCACTATCCTTAAAAATATTTGTGAGAAATTCATTGACACTTATATGAAGGTACCTTCATCCAGAGAGGATCTGCATTTGCTTGGATATGTGGACATACTATTAGTTTGTGGCCAGATTTTTGCAGTCACCTAGGTGATGTGAATTTGGGCTACAAATATGCAGGAAGAATAGTTAAAACCCTTGGGATTGAGGTTTTTCTTTTTCCCCATCTGCTCAGCACCAAGAAAATCTCCTTGTTGTCCCCTAGGGGATGGTCGCTGAAGGAGGAGAAATAACAGGTTTATTTTTGGTTCGTCCTCACACTGAAAAGGTATAGTCCTTTCGGATTCCAACTTAAGGTAGGGTGGGTCTCCTATTAGACTTCCATTTGGGCAAACCTTGAGTTCTGACTTCTGCCCCCTTTCTCCTAATGAGGCTTTCAAAACCTAGATTCCAGGGACCAGATTGCCTCAGGGCAAAGAGATTGGGAGTCTGCTTATTTCCTCAGTCTCTGCTAGTTTTTCATCTCTCTGATCTTTTATTGTTACAGTGCCCTGGGGCTCAGTCCTTGTTCCTCTTCTTTTTCAGCTGCAACTACTGCTTTGATTCTCTTACCTAGTCTCTTGACTTTAATTATGATTTCTATGCTGACAGGTTCCAAATTTATATTGCTAGCCTTGACCTTTCATTGGAATTCCAAACTCAAATATCATCTACTTACTCCACAACTCACACTGGTAATTCTGATAGAGACTGAAAACTGAGCATGCCCAAGACAGAATTCCTGTGCTTCTTTCACCCATAACTTTCCCCATTTCAGTTATGACTATTATGCTGTTAATGCTGCCCCAGTCCAAACCCTTGGCTTCATACTTGCTTCTCTTTCCCTCAAACTACACATCTATGTTAGGAAGTTCTGTTGATTCTAAATTCATAATTATCCATCATCTCACCACATCTTACCATCTCCACTGCCATTACCTTGTTCCAAGCCACAGTATCTTGCACCTGAATTCTTGCCATAGCTTCCTAACTACTCTTCCTCCTTCTGCCTTTGCTGCTCTGTACAATGTGCCTGCTATTAAGATCATGTCACCATTCTACTCAAAATCCCCAAAAATCCTCATCTCACTCAGAATAAATGCTTAATGTTATCTCCCCTCTCCAAGATATCTCTGATCTCTTTTGCCAGTCTCCTGATCCTTCCGTTCTCTTCTACTCACAGACCTCATGGCTGTTCCTCAAACACATCAGGTAGTCTACTGCTCAGGGTCTTTTACCTGTTCTTTCTGCCTGAAATCTTCTTCCAAAGTTACATATCTGCTTTACTTTTCAAGTGTTTGATCAAATACCTTCATACCTTTGAACCTCTGTGGTGTGGTGAATTTCTTAATATGGACCTTCTAGCCATAGCCTTTGTAATTACCATACAATGATTGAGTGGGACCATGCAAATAAGTTGCTTATTGATCCCAAGGAGATTGTTGCTAATGCAAATAAGGTGTCTGGAACCTGTGATGGTTAAGGTTATGTGTGGACTTAATTGGGCCATGATTTTCATTGGTTTGACAGTTATGTAATTGTGTTATTTGGCAGTTACATAATGATGTAGTTATCTTCTGTTTTGTGATGTGCCTATGCCTGTGGTTATGGTCACATTTGGGAATGAGTTGTCAGTTACATTAATGAGACAAGATTAGGGTGGGATCTATTGTAGGTCACCACTTTGCTAGTAGGTGTGACTCAAGTCACTACCCATTTCCTACTCACCACCTTTCATACCTTTGTACCATCTTGCTCAAATAAGGGGAATTTCTTTGAGGATATGGTCTGTAACCAATGTATATAAATGCTCCAGCAAAGTTCTCTCTCTTGATCTGGATGTTGTATTTGGTTTATCATCATCTGACCTCCAGTTCTTTGAACTTGAACCAGCAGGCAATCATCTGACCTGATTTGCCAGCTTCCACAGCCTTGTGAGCCAGCAGCAGCCTGTTGTCTGACCTGCCAATTTGGGTTGCAACCACGTGAGTCAGGAGAAGTCTCCAGACTGATCCCTGGCCCACGGCTGGCAGCTTCCACAACTGTATGAACCTTTTCTTTGATGGTTTCTGAGTCCTGTGAGACATTGCAGAGTTACAGAACCCAAAGGCAGGAGGGAGAATACTGATGGGAGGAAGAATAGTCAATATGAGAGATGATGGAGTGATACAGCAGTTTGGAGAAGTTGGACATTTGAGACATCTTCAACCACCACCTGCCTCATAAGAACTAGCTTTGTGCTGATCCTTTTAAAATAAATTATTCATGCATCTCTTAATAAGGTCTTCCCTAATAGCCTTAATTAAAATTATTTGTCTCCCCAACAATCTTAATCTACCTATTTATTTTAGTATTCTTAATAATTATAACAATTAATTTATATGTAGTGACTACTGTGTGCCAGGCACTGTTCTAAGCATTTTATGTATATTAACATGTTTAATCCTCACACAACTCAGTGTACTACTTTTGTTATCCCTGATAACAAAACCAAGACCAGAATAAGGAAACCGAGACACAGAAAGGTTTCCCAAGGTCACACAATTAGGTGACTGTGATGTTTGTTCTGCTAGCCGTGATCTATGCCATGTTTCCAAATGTAGCACCTGTCTTCCTCTATCATGTTATGTAACTTATTTTGTTTAGTGTTGATCTCCATTTGCCGCCTCTACCTCCATCTAAACGTCAGCTCCAAGAAGATAAGTATTTTTGTTTTTTAAAATCTGTTTTGTTTACTGCTTTATCCCTAGCACCTGAACCGTGTCTAGCTCCTAGTAGA